ATTGTTTTGTACTGAATGTTGGCTTTTATTCGCAGTTTATAGGGAAGAGTGTACACAAATATATAAATTAAATACAATTTGAATATTTTGTGTGTGTGGGCTTAGACTGGGGCGTATTGACAAGCGAATTGGTTTTATTTCAAGTTATTACTTTGTTTGTTCAATGAGTTTGAGCGTAATTTTAGCTCTCTTTATTATTGGCTTAGTATTCACAGATGCGGAAAATATTCTTTGTAATATTTAATACATTTGAGTTTGTAAGTGGTATTAAAATTAAATAAACAAATTGAAAACAAGAACTTTTTTAAATTTTAGAGTACCTTTTAAGTATTTATCACAGTGCTATCATTAGGAATAAAATTTAAGACACTTCCCAACTTCTATACAGTAACTAAAATTTGTGGGAGATCAAATTCTGGCACTCGACTTTTTAGTTTGCAATTAATTGCAAACTTTGCACCACAGGCATTTCGCCAAACTAAACATCCCTGGAACTGAGCACATATTATCGTTAATAATAAATGGAACCCAAAGTTTCGTGCACTCAGCTAGCACAAAGGGGAAAAGTTGACGGAAAACTTTCTGATAGGACAGGGAGAGAAAACTTACGTAAACCAACATCCTGGCAGGAGCCTTCGCAGCCACTGTACGCAAATTGCCAACAGCTGAGATGAAATATTTATGAATATTTATTAGCCGTGAACTGTCGCTTATTAAAAACCTAATTGAAGCTGCCGAGGTAGAACCTGTTGCCGGCTCATTAGGGCCGGAAATTTTCATTCGGTTTGTCCGCTGGCTATAAAGTTAATTACAATATTTCATTGCCGCTGCGCGAGGTCGCTGAGAAGGAGGCCGGGTGAGAACCATTTTATATCTTAACAAATTGCCAACAGCGCATTAAACGCAATAACGCAAAAATGGAGCCAGGACCAGTGGCAAGTGGGAATGAAACAAAAATGCAAAGCAATTTGTAGTAAATAAAGGCGAGCAGGAATTCTGAAATGGCACCCAAAATACGCAGCTCAAACAGGAAGGCAAACTTTTCACGCCCCCAACAAAAACACTCCTATGAAATATATATGTATGTATCTATATGTAGGACAAGAGTACATACATATATAAGTGTATATCTGTATGTCTCTGCACGAGCACAGAGTCCCGATGGGGCAGAGACATCGACAGGACGCACGGGGGACTTTAATTTTCATGACCAAGTAGGAGCGAGAAGCGAAAGAAGCGGCGAAACTTGGGAAAAGCTACAGAAAGTGGTCCTTTGTTGGCGTTTTGTAGACGGTTAAATGCTCTTAAAATGGCTAAAAAAACTAGGTGAGGGGGAACCCTATGAATGAAAAGCTAACCGAGTTTAAATTAATCCCTAAAATACCTAAAATGTAAAAAAAAAAAATTAATATACAATATACAAAATAAAATATATTTCATACATACATACATATAATAAAATTTAAGTGGGTCCATATTTATTAAAGAATACATTTCAAAGCAACAATAAATATATAGTCGCCAGCTTTTACAAAATAGGATAAAAGGCCTAATGAAGTTCTTCCAAAAAAAATTTAAAAATTATACAAGTTTTAGTTATAAAATTTATAAAATAATAAAATAATATAAAAATAATAAATAATAAAAATAAATATCATTAGCTTTAATTCAGTTACATGTTCAACAAAAAATGTTTAAAATAAAATTTTATCCCTCAGCATATTTTTTCTCAAATCTTGTTATTTTGAGACCTAGCCCAAAGAAACAACCTGTAAATAAGGCTCAGGGGCAGACACACCGTTTCTGTCTAGGTGGGATTTATGTTTCTTTTCCTTGTGCCTTGTTCTGCGTTTACTTCTTGTATAATTTTGGGCAGACGCCCACGCGGCGCCAAACTGCGCAGTCTGCTCTGTTTGATTATTCAACAGAGTTTGCTGCAAAACAAATATTTTTTGCATTATTTTAAGTAGCCTTGAAGCGATTTACTTTCCTTGCGAATTTCTTATCATTTTATATTATTTTTTACTAAATATAACATTAATATTTATATTTGGAAGAGTTTTATTAGTTTTATGTATGTTTCTTGGCTGTTTTTTGTTTTTTATTAATTTTTTTAAAAATTGTAACTTAAGAGCACCCACAGGAAACGTTCGCTTTTAATGCAACAACACGGACGCTGAGGCTGGCACTCACTCTAGCACTCAGATCTCTCCCACAAACACCCAAACACTCTCACACCCACAGGGACGCACTCTTGAAGAATACCGTTATTCCGCTGCCGCACAACCGACACACTCGAAACTCCGCCACGAACTGTTCTGTTATCCGCGGGTCCTGCTGAAGGAAAAGTTCGCATCGTGCTTTCCGCCTTTCTCTGCTACACTCGCAGTCTTGCTCTTTCGCTCGCCCACCCTCTCTTTCGCTCGCACGCATCTGTTATCAGTTTGATTTGATTTCGCCAGCAGTCCTCGCACAATTTGCGTTCGCTTGGCCAAGGATTCGGGTGCGTTCTCAAGGATGTTGGTAAACTCACCACACTTGTCGCTCTCTAGCTTTCACCCCACTCCGTCGGACTCTCTCTGCAGCTGGCATCGTTCTCCTTCGGGCAGACACCTGTAGTGTGAAAGCTTTTTGCGACAGTGTTGTCATCAGGTAGTCAAAAATTATCATAATTAATGTCCTTTACTTCAGTGGCTTTTGACGATAAAGTATTAAGAGAAAGTTTTGAAAAGTTTTGTAAGCTTTAAAAAATATATTTGATAATAGATTTTTCTGAAGCGCCTAATAGACTAATATCAAATCAATAAAAGAACTTCGGATTTGAGGCTATTAAATATTTTTATTGTTTCATACTGTTATATTTGATGAGTTTTAGAATGCTCTGCTTCAAAGCCCTAAAACTAATTTGACGAACCGAGCTAGACTAAAAATGAATTCATGTTTGTGTGAAAAGCGAGCTTCCCCCAATGAGGCATAAATAAGCTTTCCATACACTCTGGTCTCTGTGGGAGGTCGTCTGATGACGCTCCCGCCCTAGCCCTTCAGTGGCAACTGCATTTTTAGCCCCAATTACACAAATAACAGCAACAACCTGTTGGCATTTGTGTACTTGGGGTTCCTCACCGTCCCCTCCGTCCTCCACGATTGTATTTTTTATTCGTACCCCGCACCTGCCCGTGTATTAGGCGTTGCACAATAAAATTTGCTGCCGTTCAAGTGAACTCTTAAGAGTACCCTGACATTTCACATTGCTTGCAGGGGTCACCAGAGCGAAGCTACGTTCGGCACTGGAGGAAATAATTGTGTATATTATTTGGTAAAATCTTAAATCATTCTCAGTAAAATTGTAAAAAATATTGTGTAATTTTATAACAATTTTTTTAAACAGTACTTAAAAATTACATTAACCTAGATATCCTTCCAGTTCACTCGCCCTTATTTATTCCGTGGAAATGCAGTCGGATTTCTATGACTAAGCTGCACTGTCTCACTGCCCTTTTGCCCCAAGCCTCTCATACAGCAGGACTCCTGGCTGAGCTGCCAGCAACAGTTGACGTAATTTGCAGGTAATGTGTGTGTTGCCTGTTGCTCCAATATCCAGCTATTGCCACTGCCCAGGACACCTACGCTGTCCGTACTCCACCCACCATAACTCCCTCTTGGCTCTTATTTATTTCTTCCCCATGGTTGGTTCGTGTGAAAACGAGCCAATCGAGCCACATATTGATTTATGGGTTCAGGATGGGTTCTTGTCATTCAAACCATGCACCGACAAAAAATTATTGCATGTTGATTGCGTTGATGTATGTATTTAATACAAATCTTTTTTAAAGTTGCAAAGCCCTGTAAAATAATTAGCGCCAGAATTAGTTGCCAAATATAAATACTTCTTTGAACTTGACCAATTTTTTTTCAGTTTAGCAAAAAAGGGTGTAAGACACAAATAAGTGTGTGACACTCAGTCTGTCTGGTCGGAGCGAGTGTAACAAAACGAGATAGACAGTAGGGCAGTAAAAAATCAATTAAACTGAATACCCTTGGCATATAATGAACAATTAATTGGGGCAGTCTAGCTGAATTCTAGGTCTTTTTGGCTCTTGTCTAGTGGACTCGTTAAGAAAAGACTGCCAATCTGAAACCTTAATAATTCCTTAAACCTTAATAATAATAGAGCTCAAAAGCTCTTAAATTCTGTTTGCATCTTATTAACTATCTTTTCGTGTTTGCAACTATTAAATCTAGAAATAAATTAAAATACAATGAATATAGATTTATAAAAACTGCTAAAATATCATACATAATTAAACGACTTCCAACGCCGCAGTTGATTAAAAATAATTGAACCCGTGAACTGGGTGGAATTGGCGGCTAAATCTATTTTTGCACCCATTTCCGCTGCACTAAACACGATTGAAAACGGAAATTGCTTCATGTTCTTTTTTCTTCATGTTCAGCCAGCATCCTCCTAGTGCCCTCTTTTGAATTTCCCCCTCGTTTCTGGCTTCCGTTTGACAGCCGCAAATTGTGGAAAGGCTCTGGAAAAGCGGCCCTTGACTGATGACTGGCAAATCGTGTTTTTCAATTGACATTTGATAGAAATTGCGTTAGGCACCCCTGGCCTGCCCCACGCGACTCCGTTTGGGCAGCCAAAGTGTCGGTTGATGCGATTATCGCTTGGCTTAATAGAAGCGTACGTTGGCCGAGTGACTTTTTTATGAAGCGTGTTGGGTGCTCTAAAAAATGGTTTTGGTGTGTATAGCATACGAATATTTAAGGAATTTATTAATAAATTTAAATTTAAGAACGCTTAAGTGTTTTATTTAATATATATTTTTGTGATAAAGTGATTCACTTTTCCGCATATTTTAATTGTCCATTCGAAGTTTTGTCACGTCGACTACATTCTTTTGCAAAATAATTGCAGAGAGCGGTAGTGGAAACTTTTGCAAAAAGGTATAGATATTTAAAGCGATTATCCTTCATTGAGTTTGAGCGGCTTTCTACGACATTAGGCCGTCGTTTCGCAGGATTGCAGTCATGTCGAACTGCAGCAGCACAATCAAGTAGGAAGTGGCGGCACTCACAGTCTGAAATAGTTTAGGTCATTACGGCTTAATTACGAGGGCTTCGGTCGCTCAACACTTACAGAGAATATAAAAGTGTAGTCCAGGGCGAACAGGCCGATGCCATTGAACTGAAAGTATCCTTCCCAGTGAAGGAACTGCAGCGTGAAGGACTTCATTTTGTTGTAGAACAGATCGTTGCTGAGCATGAAGGCGGGCTTCTTCTGCATTATCTCGTGGACAATCATGGCCGATTGCTTGGAGTGGTTATTGGCGTTGCAGCACAGGCGCAGGACGACATAGGCCACTACCATGGTGGTGAAGCTCCAAATGACGTACAAATAGGTCACATAATCCAGGAGCCGGCTCTTTCCGCTCACTATGAAGTTGACCTTGGTCTCCAGGAAGATTCCGAAAATGCTCACCACGAAGCAGGCCGCCATGTAGGGTACACACTGTGGTCCGAATTCCCCATTAGTTATCACGCTGAGCGAGAGGATTTTGTCGTGCAACATAAACAGGTCCGGCAGATTGGACTCAGAAGTGTTGCTGGTTGGATGTGATGGGTGTTTTTTAAAAATTGTGAAAAAATAAACATCTTTACTCTTAAAGGTAATAAACTTTAATTAAAGTGTGTAAACTTTTAAATAACTGATTTGAGCTTCTGTTTTTGAACCAGGAATGACACATTAAAAGGTAGAATAAAACATCTCAGCCTACAGTCATTAATCAAAAGCTTATTCACATATAATTTTTTATGGGAACGTTTAGCCAGTAAATCGTTTCCTTTGTCAGACTCACCCTGTATTTTCGACAATTTGGGCATTGTCATAATCAAAATCGTCCTCGTTTTCATCCTGGCTGGAGTCCGTTTCGTCCTCGTCGGTCTTTTGTTGTCCCGCTTGGCTTTTCATTTCGCCTGCCAGCTTCTGGTCATGGCCAAACGCCACCTTCCCCTCCGCCGACAGCCGCTCCTTCTTGCCCTCACTCTCGATGTCAAACACTGTGAGGGGGGCGTGGCGGTGGCGGGCTTCCTGGTTAATCTTCTCGAAAAGCGTGTTAATCTGCTCGAAGCGCTCCGAAATCACCGACACATGATAGATGAACTCCCCCTGGATGATACTTCCGGCCAAGTACGGGAAACTTGACACCATAAACGGGACAAAAGCATAGTTACCAAAGGTGCTGAAACGAAAAAATTGAGTGCTATTGGGTTATATGAACATTTTAAAATCTAGCTAAAGTCTTAAGCTTCATGATATAGTCAAGAGAACCCTGCCGCTTCGAGACAAAATGGATTGGAATTGGAACTTTTTTCAAAGTGGAATGGCTATATAACATGATCCGTCTTAGCACTAAACGCGGTGTTTACAGATAAAATATTATAATCCAAGGTTTCAAAAATTGTTTCGTGGCTATTGCGCTTATGTAGATGTATGTATACACGTTCATACATATTCCAAAGAGCATTTTAATTGGTAGGATATCTCGAAACCTGAACCGAGGCCTAACCCAAAATACATAATTTAAAATAAACCATTTACTTACAAATAAAGTGACTTGACGTCGTAGTACAAGGCAAAGGTGAAGACGCAGAAAAGAAAGAGCCAGGTGAAATGGTAGGCTACACTGTGCTTCACAGCAGCTGCTTTCTTCTGGTCAGTTTCCGCCACCCTCTGACACTTTAGTATCACTGCGTCAATGACACTAAGTCGCTCGTCGAACTGGCGAAAGAACTCCTTTCGCCGGTAGACGCTCATTAGGGCGATGGTCAGGTAAAGGAAGGCACCCAGGTGCATGAAGAGATGGTTGCTCAGCCGGCAGACGCTGTTGCAGGCATCCAGGAAGCAGATGCCAAAGGTACGGGTCAGATTAATCAGCAAATAACAAAACAAGTAAAATATGGGAACCACAGCCATCATAGCGTAGTCCACGACCAAATTCGACGCCGATTGCTTGCGGTTCAATGGAATCAGTCCAATGGCCTGGAAAGCAGAAGTTGGAACTTAGAAGAAGTTTAAATTTATATATACATTTTAAAAACTACCATTGATAACCAATTCATAACTTGTATCATGTTGCCTCCTTTTAATAGTTTTTCCTGGTTAATAACTATTCTGCTTCAGTGGTGCGTTTGTACTGACGGTGACTGGTCATTTGGAGACACAAAAGGGTTAATATTGATCCTGTGTGGTGGCTCAGTCGTTGGCATAATGAAAACACTTACACGCAGTGACAGGACTGGATAATGCGCACATGTTTAAGATAAATATCTTTAGAGGGCAGCCTAAATGCTTTTAGCTTATTAAATGTGAACAATATGGTTCACTGAAGAAAACTTTGTTAAAAAGTATGAAAAAACATGTTCTAAATCATCAAAATTATTTATAATCAAAATGAAAAATAATCATTACCAAAAATGTTTCTTTTGCCAATATAGGCCAAAAATAATATGCTCCAAATGTTACCAGTGAGTAACGAATTTTTCAGTGATTTTCAAATTGACGGAGTAATTTATTGATTATTAATATTGAAGGTCAATACACATGGGAAAACAATCTGGTTTATTAATTTTAATATTAAAAAACTCTTCCAAAAATATTAAATCAACTATTAACATTTGAAACCAACTAATTAGCCTAAGATTCTTTTTCGAAAATTAAACAATCCTTTGCATCTGTTTATACTCCCATAATATGTTCACAAGAAAATTTAGTTGAGAGGTGAAAATCTAATAATTTACCGACATTTGCACCGGATTTTACTTGCTAATTAAACAATTATAAGTTAGTGCCGCCTAACACTAAATTAACAACCAAGGCAGCCCGACAACAGCACGAACCCTTGTCGTGCCAACTAGCTGAGATGTTTCCCGCCTAAGAAAACCAATTAAAAGCAAAGCCATCCTGGCAACATTAAACAGGCGACAAGGGACCCTTTGGAGAGGGGGAAAGTGGGCCAAAAACCATGCGATGATAAAATGCAAATTTCCCCTGAGTTGGGCCTTCCGCTGGGTGAGAGGGCGTGGGGATTACAATAGTTACAACTAAAACAAGCCGGCAAAGGCAAAGTTGGAGGTGTTTGCTGCCTGCTGACTGCCTAGCCTCCCTTATTTAATAATTGAGTTTGCATCAGAGGCACGCACCGACCAACAGCTAGTGCACACAAACTAACACATATTTACACATGAGCTGGGAAAGGATGTGGGTACAGTGGAACAGAAAAGGACATACAAACATCCTTAGCCTCTTACTTATGCCCATGCACGCCGGAAAGCAACACCACTTGCGGGTTTCACATATTTTAGAGGTGGACCGGAATAGAAGCCCTAGAGAATTAATAATATTTACTTAAGAAATGTGGTGAAAAGATACTTTAAAACAAGTTTTTAAACAGGGGTGCAGAAGAGGCTGACAGGTCGTATAAGTAATAAATGTTACTTTAAAGATGCATATCTCATACCCATATGTCAGCCCCATATGTTTGAACACTTATTCAAATTATGGTATTAAAATTAATGAAAAATTTAAAGACTTTAACCAATGGAAATATTTTTATTAGTTTTTTTAGTTTTAGTACTCTTGTTTTATGGGTGACAAATTTTGGGTGAATATGAAAGATCTTTAAAATACTTTTAAATTAGTAATGCTATTTGCATTTAGAAAACAAAATTTGAATAAATCGGGACATTTTTAGAGGAAGCATAGGCAATGTTTCAGTAGCTTGTTCATGTCACAATCAAGTCATAAGGAACTTACGATACTATTGCACTTATTGGAAAAATTAGAAATACACTTTTTAGAAAATAAGTGCGTAGAGAGAAAGAGAAGCGAACAGGGTATTACATAGCCCAGACACTTGCCGTCCTCGTTAAAAATGTCTTAAAAAATTCACGTGTCCAACAGATCGTATGAGTAACTTTTCGTACAGGAACCAGACTTTACTCTTAAATTATTTATTTTTATATTTTGAAACTAAAAAGAGAAATTCAGCTAAATCCCTCCCCGTCACTGGTTTTAAATAAAATCATAACCTTTCCAAGTTGAAACAGAATTAAAAGACACTGGCTATCAGCGAAAAATGTTTTTTCGCTTGTGTAATGCGTAATGAAGTTCTGAATGAAGTCTTCAATTTGCGGCTTATCGGCGTAGGCCTCTGCGGGCGAGTCTCTTAAAAGGCTGCTGAGTCGCTGCATGCAAATTTGATGCGAACATTAGATTAGTTTATTGTAGTGCTTGGTAGTGATTGTTATTGCCTTTGGTGTCCGCCATAAAAACACCCAGTCTTGCACGAAACTCTTCTCGAAATGTTTCCACTGCGCTTTATAGCTCCGACAAGCCCTTGAATTTCCTCGGGGCTTTCCGGATTTTCCCAGTTTGGGATGGATTATTTTATTTCGCAGTTCTCCCTTTGGCGGTATCAATAAAATTGCGGTCATAAACCGAACCCTCAGTGGTCCCAGACCCTGGCACGCCCCTTTTGGTGGCTCTTTGGGAAGTTTCACTCAATCATGTGGCACAGTTAGTAGCCTCGCTTTAAGCTTTTTCTTATTTTTCTTTTTCCTGATACTGCCGTGACTTGTAATGAGCTTGTTTGCTCAAGATTTTGGCACAAAGATTTGCCTAAACGCTTTTTTGCTTCCGTCAGTGTGCCGGTGGGGGAATTTAGGACTCGGGTTCTGCTAAAGTGGAACATCTTGGTCCTGTTCGAGGGGGCGAATCTCTAAGTGGGCTAAAGCCAAAATTATGTTAGGCCCCCGGGGACAATGCTGGCGTGTTAAAGTTGTTGCCGTTTTGGTTTATGAGATGCTCCTGATCTGCTAAGGCTTTCCTAGGGGAGCAGATTACCCTGCAGATTTCTTGAGTAAGAAAAAAAATCTACAAGTAGGATAGTATAAATTTTGTATCCTCTAACAGAAGCAACTAATGATTTTTATAAATTTTTCTCTTGTTTTATGATGACAAAGTCAGAAGCTTTTCTTATTTTCAACTCCTGTCAGTAGCACGTAAGCCAAAGGCGAGAAAATATAAGCCAACACGGATACAGAAATATCCGTCTCACATCGCCGGGTTAAGCCAACTTGGTCGTGTTTCTGTGGTTCCCGGTCGTATTTGTCAATTTGTTGTTTTGGTTGCATCGTCCACTGCCCCGGCACGTAAAAGTAGCTTGTTAATGATTTTGGCAACTCAACCATTCGACCATTCAGAAAAGTTTATGATAAAAACACATAACATCTCATTTGGATAGGGGTGTGTTTGTTTAAATCTTTATTAAAAATATTTCACCTTTTTTTGGAGAGATAGAAAATGTGTGATAAGAAAAAATAATTCAATTTTAAATAAAGAAGCTTAAAAAATATGGTAATAATATAATAATATGGTAATAATAATAATATTAATAATAATTAATATTGGTAATATGGTTGATATGATTGATAATTAGGGCCTAGTTAATTAGTTTTCTAGCCTAAATAATTCTAGCCTAATAGTTAATTTATTTATTCCGAGCGCACTATTATTTTGACCATGACCGTGCCATCCTCCAAATGCGTCCTTCCTCGAAGTGTTTCCTTTATCTTAGTTCAACGTTGCGTCGAAGTTAACTAGCCAAACAATTATTTGCAACGCGTTCGCATTCCACCCGCCCTTTTCTTTCTATTCTTCTTGTTCTTAGCTTTTTTTCTTTTTTTCGTCTTGCGTCCAGAAGCCAAAAGTGGTTCTTATTGCCTGTTACATAAATATTTCATTAAAAGCCATTCATAACCAAGCATTCGGAGTTGACAGCCACCTCCCAAATATTATCGCCCACCACGTGTCCATGTGGCGGAGAGCGACGAAAGGGACAGCCGGCGATGCCAAAAGAGACGGCGGGATAACAGAGCACAGCGAAAAAGAGAGGCAGAGAAAGCTTTTCACCACACCCACCGTGCAACTCGACAGTTTTGTGTAAACAATTTGGCTGCTGCATGTGAAATGTCAAATGCCAAGGATGGGGCAGGGCCAAATTAAATTCGAGCTACAAGTTGGCTGGAACTGAAGATTAACGGAGATGGATTTAGATTGAGCATGTGGGAAATTAAATTAAAGGGGATTGTACATATATTATTTATCAATGCACTTATAGTGTATAGTGTACTTATAGTGTAATTATAACCCATAGATAAATAATTCTATGTAAATATTAATAAATAAATAATCTCGATTAGCATCTAAAAAACCCATTTTTGAGGCGGTCTTTACTGCGTACAGTTGAGAACTATCCCCATTCTTTTAAGTAATTGTTAATTATTTGTAACTTTTGTGTTAAATCAACGGTTTTGAAAATGAAATGAACTCTAAATAAATTAAGTAAGTAAATTCCCCTTTTAATTTATAATTTGCATATTTGAGAAATCAATACTACTGGAGGTTTTTTTCATAGTTTAGTAAGAGCCTATTTTTAATATTTTTTAGGTTAGTGAGCCACCTTGTATACCAAGGAGGATTTGTTCAGGCGGACAGATATTTCCATAGCACACAGGAGTCAAAAAATGTATTTAAAGTACAGTAAAATTTTTCTAAGGTGACATTAAGATAGGTGCATGCCAGAATATCGGACCAATCATATGTATCGATAAGGCTATTAAGTTTGTGGAAACTAGCTTTACGGAAGCAGCGAAACTTATTTGCCTCCACGCATGGAGGCATCTGATCGATACCAGGAATGATTGAGATTGAGACCTCCAGCGTGGGGTGATATGGATCCTCTGGGGTTGAAAGAGGGAAAGCTCTGGAGAGAGCGGTACTATCGGGATCAGATACAAAGCATAAGTCTAAAAGCCGACCTAACGAATTTTTAACATGATTAATTTGACCTAGGGACATGTCAAACATGCCCGCGGTGAAGTCATGGTGAGTGATAAGTGACAAAGATGGTGAGTTATCGACGTTGGACCACTTTAATTCTGGGATATTAAAGTCGCCCACAGCGACGAGCTGGTCACGATCAGTCATAAAATTAAAAACGGATTGAATAGCGGACAAATGCTGCCAATATGTGGGCGGTTCAGACAAAGGCGGTATATATGAACATTTAATGATCAAAAATTCCGCGGACAACATGATTTTAATGCAAATAAATTCTATGTCACCGAACTCTTGTGATTTCATCTCTTTAGAAGCAAGATTGGAGTCTACCGAAATGAGGACTCCACCCCCCTCTTCGCTGAGGTCGATCCCTTCTAAAAGTGGTGTACTTACTTGGAAAAGCTTCGGAGCTAAAGATCTCCGGCTTTTACCAAGTTTCTGTAAAGGCTATAACATGGGATGCAAAGAAAGAACTATCAGAATATAGTTTTGGGGAGTTTGCTACGTAGCCCCCTAGTATTCTGATAGGTAAGTGTTAATGACGATACTAGTTTGTTGGGTTAGTGGACGAAGAAGAGGTGGAAGGTTGGTCAGTGGTTCTAATGTGGGGAAGTTTCACTCCGACTGGATTTAAAACTTTTTTTTCACGAAACTAGGCTGATGTTCTTGGACGAAATTGTTCTCTGGCCAAAAACTGGGTGAACAAATCGCCTTGAACAACAGCGCAGGCACACGAATCTTGAAAGAAGACGTGCGCCTTACATAATTATATTTTAATTTCGCTATGTCCTCCACCTTTATATCGGCTTTAGTTTTAGTTTTGATTTAAGCCGAGATATCAATCTCTGAAGTATCAGGGGCTAGCCGATGAAACAAATATATGTTTCGATTGAGGAATCACCTGTAAGGGTTTTGGTGTCGCAGGTACGAGAACTGCAGGCTGAGGAGGATTACAAACAGCGGATTTTTTACGCTTAGGGGACTCAACTTGCTGCTGAAGGCCGCTAAACTGAGTGTCAAGCGCACAGAGCTGGTCATTGATTTTACGAAAACCATTTATATTAAATTTTATAAGAATTGTCCTTCTTATCCCTTTTATTCGAAGGTAGGGTTGTTGGGTTTTAAAAAAATATCGTATTGATGATATTTGCAGTGAAAAAAATATCAATCGATAATATTAAGAAATATCACATAAAAAAATCGATATATCGATTATTTTTGATATTTTTTGTGGTCAGCTAAAATTGAAAAAAGGTTATTTGTAAATTTAAAAAAGGTTTTAATATGTGTTTTCATCCGCCATGAACTGCAAATAGGAGCTATTTTTTATTTAAAAAGTGAATTTAAAAAACAACAAATATTTATACCCACTCTCAAGCAACTTTTATTTACGTTATTTGAAATAAAAAATAACAAAATTATTAAGGACATTGTGTTCAAATATAATTATAAAAAAACTTAATATAAAAAAAAAAATTTTTTAAAACTTAATTAATTTATGGAATATGTACTAAATAATGCTAATTACCTAATTATCTTATTTAATGCTCCTAATTACTCTTAATTTCAAAACAAATCTTTCTTCAATGATTTAAAAAAACTCTTTCGGTTATATGCTGGTCTGTCATTCGACTACGGGAGTCACAGACAATACATTTAATGGCAGAAGCCAACCGTTCAGATGGAACCGTACTTCCAGGCGTGATAAGATAACTTAATGCCAATTTCTGGCTTAAGAGTGACCAAACATAAAATATCGGAAATACCAACTCAAAAATATTATTATCGACTATTTTTGCCCAAAAAATATTCCGATAATAATATTTTTTTAAGAGAAAATATATCGATATATTAATATTTTGATATATTTCCGACATCCCTATTCGAAGGTCCCCTAATTTTAGTGTCGTATTTATAGCCAAGACACTAACCACATTGCGCCTAAAAGTATACCCGCCTCACATATTTCTGTGTGCTTGATTGCGCACAATCGGATGACATTTCATCAATGCGTTCGATCGTATGGGATCGTGGTGCTTTGGAAGAACAAAAAACCTCGATGGGCCGCCAAGTGGGAGTGCGGATCCGTCTAGTCGCGCGTTTAGCGTTCAGCGCGGCGGTTGTGGGCACTTCAAATCGCGTTATGTCGGGCCCACTAGAGAAGAACAATGGCAGTGAAAACAACAATGGCAGCAACAAGGACGTCAGACTCCTACTCCTGCCCGAAAAGTCCTGCGCTGAAAAGGCACTGACGGGCCTGCCTCGCGCTCCGCTACAGAAGATTTTCATCGACGACCTGACAAAGTCGGAAAACGTCGGAGCGGGAAAAGTGCGACAGCGCGTGTGGCGGGTGCCCTGGTTTATTTTGCTGATGTGTTTTATGCAGGTTCGATTTGATGCAGTTGCTCCAGATGTCCATTATCTTTTTTGTTTTCGGATTCTGGCTGCGTGGGGAATGAGTGATGTGTGCTTTTAATTTCGAATGGAATTGAATCTTAAAATCAAATGAATGTGTCACTATAACTAGTGTTTAATTAATTTAGGCAATATATAATCGTAAAAAATAGTAATTTATTTTATAAAAATATATTCCTTATCAAAAAACGAATTTTTTTTGGGCGGAATTAAGAAACAATTTGTGCTAGTCATAAAAAAACATGATAAGCATTCACTTTAGTGCCTTTTTTTTAATACAATAACATTCCTCAAAAGTGTATGTTTATAATCCGCTTCTCAATAATACTGATTATATTTGATTTGTTTTAAGGTAAAAAGTTGTTTATTTTTTTTTGGTTTACCCGCCGTGGCCTTGTGTGAATGCTCTCATAAATTATTGAAAGGGAATTCGTATGAATTTTCATTCACTGGAAAATTTTTCAATCACCTATTTGTGTATATGGATTACTTGTTGCCGTTTTAAACGAACTTAATTGATATTTTGAATTGAAAGCATATGTTTTTGTTTTCCATCTAATCCAGTTTGTGGTAAAAAGGGTATACTCTTAAAAATCATTAACAAGTCATCATTGAATTAAGTGGAAAATTGTGCCAGTTTAAAACAAAACTATATTAATATAACAAGTACTTAAGTTTTATAGTACTATGCGGCCATAACAAAGTCCCACAAGTGTGACCCATCTAGTGGCTTACTAATTATTTGATACCTTTTTGCAATTAGGTGGAGTACAGCTTCAAAGTAATGTAGATCGGGGGACCCACTACTGGGCCCAACCCACAAGCTGGTAATTGTTATTATTGCACAATTCAATGCATTGCATTCGATTTAGCTTTATTGCCATTTTTGTCATCGATCGAATGTTGCAACTTGCAGCTCTGGCATTTGTCATATTTGGATGCGGGATGCATGTTGCACCGATTTGGTGTCGCCGCCGTGTTTTTGCGGCTGCTGTCAAGTCATGCGGCGCACACTGTGCGGCATCTCATCGAAACTAAACTCGACGCTCCACACTCAGCATTCGCACTTCTCAATTGGCCAAGTGTCGAGCGTTTGAGCGAAAGTGGCAGTCAGCTTCCATGACACTATTCAGCAGGGTTGAGTTTTGGGGCCGGCACACTGATCACTTTTGGGATTTCAACCACATCAATAATGCTGATCTGAAATAAAGCTGTCAACGGTTCTACTTTTGGGGAATCGATTCTTTTCAATTCAATTCTGAAAAAAATCGATTAAAACAATTTTAAAAATTCATAAGCTTTAAGAAAAACAAAATTCAACAACAAAACTCAGTGGTTTTTGCTGGTGAATACTAGCTTGTCCACATTTTTTGCCTTCACGGAAGCTCTGCACTTGGTCACTATACATCCACCCTGTTGAAAATCCTCCGTCAAACGTCAAGCTTTTTCCAAAAAAAAAATTTTTAAATATGTTTATATGATTACGGGTGTCAAAATATTTTAAATGAAAGTATATTTATTCTAAACAATTGGTGAAAAAAAACTAGTCACTAAATAATTATTTTAATCGTGCCTAGTAAAGGAAAAAACTTTTAGTTAAAAAAAAAATTTAGTAAAGAAAAAAAAAACTTTAATAAAAAGCGTACTTATAAAATTGTCAGCCACTGGTCACTGGTTCATCATGGCAAGATTGTTAGGGCCTAACAATTTGGTACAAGATTTCCCTTTAATTTGGAACTGTGGTGCATCTTCATACGGCACGATATCTTGCATACTTCACTGCTTGATTTGAGGGCATGGCATAAAAATAATATTCAACTTTGTTAAACCATAATTAAGTTTGAGTTTTTGCTGTACTCTCCAGAATCTTACAATACAACTGTCTTCGCAGTTTTGGGCGTTTGGGTTACAAGTATTACCAGGACTCTGGAATACATTCTAAGACCTCAAAAACATCCGGTGACTGCTATAGACTGGAGTATACCCTGAACGAAAGCTTGAATAACTAGGTTAACGATCTTCCAGAGAAGCGGATACTTTGCTTAATTATGGGAAAAGGTAGCACTGTCAAATATAGTCAAATAGTCAAATATTATGACTAATAAAAAAAGTCCTTCAGGAAGGAACTTCAAGGTATGTTGTACGAATACATATTCCCTTGAATAGATATTTATGCAGCCTAGAAATTAGTGGCACTGGCGATCAACTATTTCCTTCTAGTTCATGGGCCTTGGCTCCCTTAAGCCTATGTCCAGGTAGCCAAAGATCCATATCCGCTAGAAAATAGTGAGCCTGATTGTTTTTGGCATCGTTCAAGGTACATAAATATATGAAAGTGTTCTTAGATTCAGTTTTTCCATAGACTAAATACGATACGATAAATACTATGGCCTTTGATTTTAATTCTTACCTTTTTTTTTTGGATTTTTAGGCCTAAGAGTTTTGACTGAGAGCACTCAGTCTTGGTGTGTGTACCCCGATTTCTAACACTTCTGTCGCCCAACAGATATCTCTGCATCTGATTGTCAACGAGTGCATGCAAAGAAGACTGATTTACAAGCCCGACTGGAGTGGAGAGTACTGGCGACTGCTGACCTACATGCTGCTCCATGCCGATTCCTGGCACCTAGTTCTCAACATTTGTCTTCAGGTGAGAAACAAAAAAAATCTTTGGTTTTTTTAATAAAAAACTTTACTTTTCCTCCCCCAGTGCTTCATAGGCATCTGTCTGGAACTGGAGCAGGGTCACTGGCGTCTGGCCGTGGTCTATGCCGTGGGTGGCTTATCCGGTTCATTGGCCAACGCCTGGCTGCAACCGCATCTTTTGTTATTAGGTGCCTCCGCCGGAGTCTACGCCATGCTGGGTAGTCATGTGCCCCACCTGGTTCTGGTCAGTCAGCTGGAAACCGCAATTTAATTTCTAGATTAATTCAAACGCTGGTATGTTTTTTTCTATTAGAACTTTTCGCAGTTGTCCCATCGGTTCGCCCGCATAGCCGCCCTGCTGATTCTGTTCCTCAGCGACGTGGGCTTCACCACATTCCACTTTCGCCACAATCACAATCGCAACCCGCGTATCAGTCTGGAGGCGCATTTGGGCGGGGGCGTGGCCGGACTACTGTGCGGATTCCTTGTTTATCGGAAGATGCGCCAAAAGTTTATATACTTTTAGTCTACAAGTATTTAGTAATTAAACTAGAGTATTTTTGTATTAAACATTATGCTGGTAAATAGTTATGTTTTAAAATTAAAATGTATTGAAAATAAAGCACTTTTTGTCAACCTTAATGACCAAGAGCTCTTTAATGTTATTTAGCTGTCTTACAGTGTTCTGCAATTATTATTCATGAAAGAAGTGTTGTCTTGGAATGCTTCTATTTTTTGGTCATAGGAAATCCGTTTTTTACTTTTGGGTCAAGTACAATTTGGCTCTATAAATAAACATTTGTTTTACACCTCTTGAATGAGTAAAACATGTTTTTGTTGCCACCTAATTGGTAAAACCTAAAAGCTAATTGCTACCAATTGCTTTGCAATTACTTACTCACCAATGGGCTTTGGATAATGGAATGCCTGATTTTATTCGAAGGTAGGAATGTGAAATGTACATTTATTACCAGTGATGATTATTTGTATTGTGGACTAATTTTGTTTGAAAATTCCAGAAAAACAAGGCTAAGCTATTGAATTAATTTATTTTTAGCAGGCTGAACCAAATAAACACTCATTTTAGTTTCGGATTAAAATTATTTTATTTCATAGCTAATTTCATAGAAAATTTTTGAAATTAAATATGGATTATTAGCTTATTATTATGTTAAGTTCCTAGCCTAGTTTACGATATAAATGCATTGCTATGAATAATATTTATATTCAAGTGTTTGGCCAATGCTTTTACCTTTCTATGATACAACTTATGCTACCCCTTATTCTACGATAATGCTACGATCCGAGACTTAACCTCTACAACTTCCGGGTAATCCCCCAAGAGGACATCGGGGATTTCTAAATTAACAGTCTAGTGGGCCGCACTTGACGCCCACCTCGGTGCACTTGCATTCCAGGCACTGGCTGGACAGCTCCACGATTATCCTGCCCACCCGGTACATGCGTCCGTAAATATTGCATCCTGCCAATTTGAGTTGGCCGAGGGGGTCCTCGCCGCCCTCACCTCCGCCCCTCTCGGACCAATTTGTGGGTGTATCCTGTGGCGGGGTTGCTAATGTGGCAGCAGCAGTGGCTGTAGGCTGCCGTGTTGCATGCTGGTAATGGTGGAATTGCTGCTCGGCCTGCTCATGTTGCTGCTGCAGTGCCTCAAACTGCTGTTGTGGCTGCAATCTGTGCGGCTTCACCTCATAGCTGGCATCCATGAAGGGTAATTTGTCGAACGGTGAGTTTAAAAATGGATGAAGAGTGCTCTTCGGTGTTGTGGGTGCCTCGGTGGTGGAGGTCGTGGTTGTCGTTGTCGTTGTCGGTGTTGTTGTTTGCACTGACGATGCTGCTGGCGTAGCTCTGGTCGGTGCTGCTGTTGGTCCTGTTGCAGAAGCCGCTCCAGTTGCAGGATTTGTGCGGCGCGTGGCACTCTGGACTTTTCGTCTATTACCCGTGGTCTGTTTGTTTTTCGTTTTATTGCTGGTCTTTTTGGCAGGAACACGTGCTGTCGCTGTTGGCCGACCTGTGGTGGCCGCTGTCGGTGTGTGCCTTGTTTTAGTTGTAGATTTTGTTGGTGCCTCTGTTGTGGTTGTGGTTGTAGTTGTTGTACTTGTCTTTATTATTTCTGATGGTAGTTGCTTAAATGGCGGCACTGTGCTCCTTGTAGTGTCCTCCTTTGACAGCTGCATGCCCAGCAGCTCGTCCAAAAGCATGTCCAACTTGTTGATTTCATATTTATCCACCAGTGGAATTTCCTTTTCAATTGCAGGTTTTACCGCTGCTGCTGTGCTGCTGAAGGACGTGGCCAAGGAGGAGGAGGACGTCGAGTTGCTGACGCTGTATGTGACAGTTTCGATGCGTTCTATAACGGGCTTCTTTTTCGCTTTGTCCTCCATCAAGTCATCGAGCTTGGGGGGCGGCTCTGTGTGTATGACATCTTTAAAGGGGTCTGGAGTGGTGATTTCTGCAATAAGTGGCAGTGGTTACAAATAGTTTAAAAGTTTTTAAACAACATTTCAATAAGGTTATGAAAAAACTTGTTCATTACTTGTTTCTTCCAATTAACAGACTCCTATTCTTAAGCGTAGAATAAACTTAAGTTACTCATCTAACCCCCACCCCAATAAACCCCCGATTTTTTATTTAAAAAAATCTTTTTTAAAAATATGTATTTGGTTTCATTATTTACATGGAATAGACTTTCAGATAGACAATGGTACTTGATGGGACGGAAGTACTTGATAGTCTTGAAAACCATTTATTCTTTCTGATACAAAAATTTTTAACCTGTTTGGTTTTGAATCACAAACCTAATATACCCTTGTTTTTAAAGTGCTTCTATTTTCAAAAATGATCAAAAATAAAGATTGGTGATTGCCCTATATCTTTAAAAATAAGAGGCCAGTTCGCGTAGAAACAGACAGACGGACATGCTTACATGTATATCAAGAAGAAGTGAACCTGATCAAGAATATACCTTTTTTACTGCGTTGCACAATTTTGACCAACTTTAAGGAGTATAAAAACCATTTATAACCATAAATCACAAACTGTACAATTATCTAGGAGTTTGAATCATAAAATATAATTTAATTTAATTTTTTATCCAAACTCACCTATGGAAGATGCTGTATCATTGGCACGCGCAGCTGCAGTTGTAATATCGATTATGTGCTTCGTTATATGAAAGTTATCCAAGGGACCTTTTATCCCGCTGGAAGTGACATGCTCTTGGAGGACTTCCCCGTCAATGACAAGAGGTTCCTTGGGCATGAATCCGCCCTCGGTCTCGGTTGGCGGCAAAAAGCCACTGTGAGATGGTGGCGCCACCGGGCGATCAAAGTCAAACTTAACATAATCTGCCGTACCTTCATACTGGCCACCCACATGCACCACCGGCTCCGGAGCTGTTTCGGCCGCCGGAACTTCCACGTTGAACTTGTACTTGTAGGCTGCTTGGTCCGGCTGCGACTGGGAGTATAGAGCCACCGAGTCTTCCACTGAATCATAGCCGACCACATCCATTTTATCCGAGGCTATCTTCTGCTGGTAGAAGTTGGCGGGATAGTTATCCTTTGGCACCGTCTCGACGGCATCCGTGGGCAGGAAGGGTATTATCTTTAAGTTGGGGAGACTGGGCGGCAATGTTGGTTCCCCGTTGATCTCCAGGGGCTCGGCTTCCAAGATGGTGGGGTTCGTTTGGATGACCAAGGGTTTGGGAGTGCTTGTGATGAAGGGCTTGGGCTTTGGCTTGAATTTAGGCTTGCTGGTGGTGCGAGCGGTGGTTGTTGTGGTGCTGGGCTTGGAAGTCGTTGTGGTAGTGGTGGTGGTTGAAGAAACTATTAAAGAAATAGTTTCAGTTCTTGCTGGGGGCTTCGTGGTATGGGGTTTCACTGAAGTCGGCTTGGGAGTAGTTGGTCTTGTAGTTGAATTTTTGGGAATAGTCTTAGTTGAAGGCTTCGGAGTTGCAGGCCTTGAAGTCGCAGGTGCTGGTGTTGTGGACTTTAATATAATGGCCTGTGGAGGGGCGGGGATGGGTCTTTTGGTGGATTTTACCTTGGGCTTATTAGTGGTTTGGGGTTTTGGAGTGGTTTTGGTGGTGGTTGTACTCAACGGTCTCTTTGTGGTTGTCGTTGTTGTAGTGCTGCTCTGACTGATACTGTTGGAAGGTGTTCTGTTGGTCACTGGTTGGCCGTACTTTCTGGTCACCAGCAGCATGGGGGGAGTCACTGTCAAGTTGGCCAGCTTTGAGTTTATTCTCGTGTGAATTGGCTTCGCCGACTGTGGCAGAGGTCGGAACATGGGTGGTGCATGCTCCGTTGTTGTGGTGGTTGTACTGTTGGAAGTTCCATTCAGAGGTTCTTCGAGAATTCCAGATAGTCCATCCATGAATGCATTGAACAAGCTTGGTTCTTCTTTCGAGGGCTGATCAACACCTTCTCCAGCGGGCTTGGGCCAAATTCCAGCATTTCCCACGTGGGTTTGCTGGGCATCCGCTGGCAGTTCCCCAACCGCCATTCCTCCGTTGTCCAGTTGTTCCTCAAAGTCGTCCGCTATTCGCTTGATGTTGTTTGTGGAGGACACTAGCTCCTCCTTTGGGTTCAAGGTGGTGGTACTACTGCTCAGACCTTCCTGGTATGTTTCTGTGATGGGTCCGAGTTCCTCCTCATCGGGTCCAAGCAATATGTCCATCCAGGACAGGGTGTTTTTTGTGGTTGTCGATTGCGGCTGACTGATATCCTCCGGCTGCCCGTTCTCCGGGGTTGGACCCAGGAGAAGGTCCAGGAAACTCACGGTGGAGGTGCTGGTCACCTCATCACTGGCCTCCGTACGCATCATAGGAGGAGCCACTGTGGTTTTTATGCCAACGAGATCCAAGTTGTTGGCCAACATTTTGTTGTTGTTTCCGTCTATAAATTCCAGGCCTTCGCGAATGGTGTCCAGAATACTCTTCTCACTGCTGGCTTCGAGGGGATCGCCCTGGGGTGTCTTGGTGGGATGACGATCATGGGGGTATCTCTCGGCCATGGCATTCTGGGGAATTATGGCCGACTCCTGCACTTCCGGCTGCTCGTCGTCCTCCTTGCCGAAGAGCATATTGTACAGGTTGAACTGGCGGGAGTTGTGCGATCGGCGGTAGTTCCGCTGGCTGCCGCAGTCGTAGCTGGAAGGGCAACACTGCCCCTTTGGCACCACCGGAATGCAGTTCTTCAACGCCGGGGAGCATTTCTTCGGGGCGCAACGCCGCGTTCCACGGATGCAGAAGCAGATGTCGCAAGGCCTGTCGGAATCGGACCGCATCTTCTGACCCTCGGCGTAGAACTGAGATCCCACCGTGCAGCCCCGATTGCGTTGCAGGCGCTGGGACATTCGCTGGAAGTGCTTGTTCGAGGTCTTCCTGTAGCGCATTTCCTGCGAGGACTTGCCGGAGGTTTTGCTGCTGCAGTCGTACCTCACTGGGCAGCAGGTGGAGTCCACGAAGATCGGCTTGCAGCCCTGCACTGGCAGCATGCACTTTGGTTTCACGCACTTTTCTGTGCCGCCTGGAAGGTAAAGAAGAAGTAGTTCAAAACAATTATTCATATAATCCTTTTTTAGGAACTTGCCTATGCAATAACAGTAGCTGCATAAATTGGATGACGACATAGCAGATCCTGACTTGTAGACCGTTCCATTCTTTACACATACTAATGAGAACAAAGTTAAAAAAAAAATGTTCCAAATAGTTTATTCCTTAAGACATACCAAACAGATCCGTGTCCGAATCGTCGGACCTCCGTTGCAGCATGTTGTCGTTCACCACCCTGTCGATGGACTCCCGTTCGTAGTGGTCCAAGTAGGCTATGATGCGGCGTTTGGTGGGTATCTTGTAGAACGCATCCAGGCGCGCGCAAGAGAGGTACGGGCAGCAGGTGCTTTTCTTTTGGACCACGACGCAGCCCCTGGGCGGGGGCATCGGCATTTCGGGGCAGACCTTGAGCCGACAGACGAGGGTCTTTCGGTTACATTGGCAGTTCAGGCACTTCTCCATGCTTGGCACCACCGATTTGTCCGCAAACCAAGTGCCATTATGGTGACATCCTAAGAGTGAAATATAAAAACATACGCAGTCATAAAGTGAGCTTTTAAAATAGAACTACGACTAATATCATGTTCACAAAACTTTTATTTTTTTGAAAATATTTTTAAACATGCAAAACCTTTGGACGCAGTGCAATATTAATGAACACCATAATTTTAGAACCAACTAGAAATTTAATATTGCAAAGGAAAGACTGAAGTCCTCACGAGTCCCATGAGGGGCCCTTCGTCCGATTGCCTTCAAACGCAAGAAAATATTGCTGTTTCTTCAGCGACTTGACATCAGTGTGTGGCAACTCCATGGGAACCACGGGCTCTGGCTCGCGAACTGCTCCCTTCGGAGGTTGTATCAGTTTAGGCAACGGCAAGGCCGAGGGGCTAAGTGGCCAAAATCCCCAACGGTCCAGGGCAAGGGTCTGGAAGGGCGGTGTGCAGAGATGCTGAGGGCCATTCAGTCCAGAAGCCGGCATGTTCACCACCCTGCCTTCGGGCTTCATCTGCGGCTTGCAGGCGCCGTCCTGGCATGGCATCGGGCGATGCAGAGGACCCATTGAACCTTGGGCAGGACTCCGCTGCTGCCCCAGCTTGAGAATGAGCTGCTGAGGCCACATGCTGGTCGCTTGGAATGCTAATTAAATTGCGGCAACTGAAATTGCCGATTCCTTGGGCTCAGTAGTTTTGTAGTTGGTAGGTTTTTTTGGAGCAATGTGTTTAAAGCGGCCCTGAGTCTGGTCTATGCTGCGCCTTCAAATATTAGGTGGACAGTTAGACCAGAGTCTACTTGTGACTTGATATTCATAAAATACTTTGTTTAACAGGCTCTAAAATAGTTTCTACCTAATTACAAGCTCAAATAATACAATTATAAAGTGTTTTATAGATGTTTCGGTAAACCCGATGAGAATCATGCAGTTTTGTGGTTATTTATGAAGCTATCGATGCACCGTCTTCAGTCTCTTTTCTGTCAGACGATTATTCGGTACAGCCTATGAATGCTCCATCTTAAATCGATCTCGAATTCTCCAATTTATCCGCTACTTTTCTGACGCGTCTGCGCTCACCCAATGCCACACATTTCACAGGCTTTATCCGCCGGCCCGCTATTCCCAGCCCCAACCCTCGGCACTCACCTGTATTCGGTGTGATAAATGCATCCAGCTGTGCGGGCCATAGAAGAAGTACGGCCGCCGATAATATGCTGACTAAGCGCAGCGTCATCTTGGGTCGTCAGTGGGTTTTGCGTCGAGTTTGGAGTTCAGCTCAGTTCGTTCCCGTTGCAGAGGCCCAGAGCATGAATAATGCAACAGAGCCGCCTCGGACTTGGCTTGGGCTCCGACCTAGGTCCCCTCCTCGTCTGTGTCTTTGTGCTTGCAGATGCGGCAGGGCAGTGCTCCAACCTGTCTGCCAGAGTCCAGCTCCCAGCTTGCAGCTTCGAGTCTAATGCTCAGAATGTGTGTCACGCAGCGGCAGCAACTTTCGAATGACAGAAAACGGCGACGGTGCGCATGCTCGCTGGCCGGAGTCGGAGAGCAAATTAAACCGGGCGGGAAATTACCCGCACAACTGCCGGAGCATTTCCACAGGTCGTCGTCGCTTCAGTGCCAAAGTTCTGCCACACTTTTAATGAACCATATACTCTCTTAAGCGGCGGTACACGAAGGAATTTGTTGGCTTCGCAGCTGTGGCTGTGGCTGTAAAAAATGAAACAGAACATTAGAGAGGAGCAAAAAACGTCCGTCATTAGTTGTTCAACGTTGGATAATCTTGGCCAAGCTATGCAATAAGTAGCTTGGGTAAACAAACACCTTCATTTTAATAAACTAGAGATGATGCTGGGCCTAAGAAGTATGTTGTAAACACCAGTAGAAGCTCATAGTCTCACATGTTGGCCAACATCCGAGAGTAAGAGGGCTAATGTTAAATGAAGGGTAAGGCTCATTCATAAATAAGTGGCTTAATGAAAATACTCTAGCTTTTATTGAAACCCTATTCCTTAATCTTTTAATCCTATATTAATCAAGCTCTCAATAATCTTTCTCCCTAATACCCAACTACAACTCAGAGACCTCTTGATTTACATTTAAGACTTTCTTTTGAAACCCCTTCAGGTTTCAAAATAAGGTATTTCACATTTGTTTGTCCGAATCAATGCGTTTCCAATTCTTGGCATAGTTTCTCGCGCGACTGCTGCCAAAATCTATCAATAAACCCACAAATAAGGAGCCCATACAACTCGGCCACACCACACCGCAGTCATAAATAATATCCATCAAAAAAAAGAAATGGAAAGAAACGAACTGGTCTGGCGGAGTGGAGTTCTGACCAACACAGACACTTCGCACTCCGCGAAAATTCAACATGCAAACGCAACAACTGGAAAACAGGCAAACAAACATGAAAATCAAATAAAGCCAGTGAATGGCGGTCATTGCCAGCGAAAAGGCAGTCGACTGGCAGACTTCTAGCCACCACAGAGTCCAAGAATCTTCTCCGGTCCGATGGCTATCACACAGCAACAAGCTAACAACAAACCACTAACAAACCAACAACTATGTTGGCCGTGGCCCATGGACGTCTCCGAGCAGGCTAACACAGCCACTTTCATTAAGAACGTGATTAGCAGCGAAAACTCAGTGGCACGCAAATGGAAAAGCAGTGTGCTATGAGACCAGAATATGTTTGGTTCTGAACTTACGAAAATTTAGATACTCTTTGAGGAAGTCCTTAGTGAACTCTAAAGGAAAATTGTCTAATTTAATTCTTAAACATGGGGGTTAGTAAAATTATTTTATTTTCTGCTACATCTGTATTAAAAACTTATAGGTTAAAAAAACCTTTCATAAAATATTCAAAATGTTCTTCAAAATATTGAAGGAGAATCTGGAAGAACATGAACCTCGAACCGATCTACGGAAGAGCAGAAACCCGAATGCCTGCCAATTTTTCGCTTAATTGGGGCTCTTTTTTTGCATACTGGCCTGGCCAAGTTGGTTTTTTTTTTTTGCAATTCTTCTGGCCTTGCAGAGCTTAGTCGCAGTTGGTTCTCATGACAACTTTTAATCAAGTCATTATCTGTGTGTCAGGCCGGAGAAGATCTATGCTGGCGGAACTTTCTCGAGACACGAAAAAGCAGAAGTCACAAAATAAAAGCCAGCCCGAACCGAACGGAATTTCAGTTTCACACAATAAATCAGCTGCAGTTGACTTTTATTTTGTTGTGGATCGGTCTGCCTTTTAATTGAAGCCCAGTCGGCTCATTTGCATGCCAGCGTCGTGTACTTGGCCATGAAAATGGAGGCTAGAACGCTGAAATTGCCGGCTGCTGGTGTGATGGGGCTTTTCTCTTTCGCCGCGCAAGTTGGCCTAGGCCCTAGGGCCTGGAATTGAAGCCTCAGCTGCTTTCGGTGAAAACCCAAAGCCGAGTTAATTACACATTTTTCAAAAGCGATTTGCATCTGGGCCGGGCCAACATAATTCCATAATTTTCGCTGAGCAAATCCAGCCTGCCACGCACTCGCAGATACAATCGAGAATCTTTGAGAGAATGCCCTCACATTCGGAACGTGTGTACGCTTCATAAATAAATTACAGTGTAATTATAAGCAAAGACAAAACGAAGCCGAGCCGAGCCGCGACCAAAAGAAAGCGAGGCTGTGGGAGCAAATGCCACTCAGGTGTCCAAGAACACCGTAATGAGGCCAAGCAATTACGCCCAGACAACTTTATTTATATATTATTTCTTCTGGCCGACCTGGCCATACACTGGGCGAAATTAATCAAGTCATTTGTTCGGGGGCCTGGGGCTGCCAGCGAAAGTGTGGAGATTAAAAGCGCCCGATTGCTCGATTAGTTAATCACAATGAAGAGTTAGTTTGCTGGTTTCATCAACCCAGATTCGCGAAGAAATTAAAAGTTTGGGGTTTTCGGTTTCATTAGCCCGGTTCGAGGTGTTTGTTAAGAAGAATGGAATTTAAGAAGAAATCATATTATAGAACTGGAAAGGTGAACAAAATCTGTAAAGGTATCTCTTGTTTAAACTCCAAGAGTCTGTGTTTACAACTTCATTCAAGCGATACACATGTTCGCCCAAAGAAATCAACCCAATTAACTAGTTTGGCCGTGCCACTTGGCGGACAATAAATTCGATTTGAGCCAAAATAGAGCTCGGAATCGAACTTAAGCCGTGACATCGATTCGACAACAATGAATATGAGTATTGGGTATTGGGCATTCGTATCTGATAGATACTTTGCCTGCCACTACGACTGCGGCTCTTGACACAGTAGCAACGCCCCACTGACAGATTTATTTATCTGGCTTTTGGGGTGGAGATGGAGAGCACTCCCGCCATATTTGGACGTTGATTTGTGAAAGGCGAAAAGCAAAAGCAGGCTCAAGTGCAATATTTCGCGGTGGGCAATGGTTTGTTTTGGTTTCCCCACTTTTTGCTGGCTTTTGGTTCGTGGCTACTGGGCATATTTCTGGGCGCATTCTAACTTATAATTTGTAACAACTTTCACCGAGCAATCGAGGCAGCACAGCTAGCACTTGAGATTATGTAAATCCCGCTCGGGCAGAAAACCTAATAACAATGCTCCACGGAAAGAGAAAGACTGCACCCCAGATCTAGATCTGGGCCCATTTTCACTTTTGCAAATTGTCTAAGAACACGGAACATGAATGCATATCGAAGTAAGTCCGAGTCAATAAGCGATCATTGATGATTGAAACGTGAGCACGATTACACTGCTCACCAGCATACATATTTCTTTATGATCTTGCGATACATACTGTGTGTTTTAACTGTTCGTAGATGGTCATAATTTCTGAATAAGTTTTATTGCTTTAATAGCCATATTTGCGTATGATTTCGGCTGTGAGTGTAGTGAAATTTGTGTCATATAATGGAAGAAATGCCAACACGCTTCTACTTGAGTTTCTTAGCAGGAAAATAAATTTGGCAATACCCGAGCAATTGAAACAATTCCAGCTTGAAGCACATGCCAAGCTTCTTGTCTCAAAGAGGCAAACAAAGCCAAAGCGAGGAAAAAACTGACTTACGGACTGTCAGAGCCATCAGCATGTGTGGCTCATTAAATATGCTGCGAACACACAACAAGTACAACGCAAAAAATCAGCCAGAAAGCAGACGGGAACGGAGAAGTTTAAACAATTTCCATGTCCAACTCTATTGGACTGAGGGAATACTGAAAAAAACGGATTCCTATTCTATAGGAATCCATTGAATATCAAATCATGTTGATTCTAAATTTTCGGCTATAAAACTATTAGAAATTGTTCATAAAGAAATAATTATGATAAGGTAGGGAAGATTATTAAACAATTATAGTAAAAAAATACTTTATTGATCTTTCCTATCATTGAAATCTCGATACATTTATACTAACCTCCCTTTCAAGTATTTAATAAATCTCAAACTATGAGATATTACAATACCAAATTCCTAGTTCTTACCCTATACCATTATTTCTTGCACTATTTTTCTCTGGTGTACCCATCTCTCTCGTTCTGGCTGCAGACAAATGCCTGTCATTTAGTGGACGTCAAACATGTTCGACCTGGCCCCCTGATCCACCTGGGCCCCCTGCCTGCCCCTTTGGGCCAAGTCAGCGATCAACAATCTGGAGGAGCTCCAGAGTCTTCCGCCCGACACCCTCCTGCTCAGCAGCCATTGGGCCCGCGAGGGCTCAATAAATGGGCGTCGTTTATGCACCTCATCATCAGCGATTGCACAGATCGCGGTTTTTGTTTTTTATTCATTCACCTGGACGTGGTTGTTCTTGTTGGTTGTGGCGGCTGTTCGGCCAAGCGGAAGTTGTTAAATGAAAGGCAGAATCGAGCACGGAATGGGAAGAGGTGTTGGTGCGGAGAGGAAACTCTCGAAGTTCTTCCTTAGGTTTGGTTCTGAGAGGCGGAGATGTCGTGTAGGGATTCCAGGAACTTTAGGGAGTGATAGTAAGAGTAACATTCATTTTGAAGTCTAGTCCTTACTGAACACAAATTGATGTATACACCCATCTGGCATATGATCCTTTTACCCTTTGGTCCCCCTGCTTATCTACTAATTAAAAGTAATGGAATTCGTTTCGCCCGTTTGGCCAAGGTAACAGTTAACTTGCTAATTAGGTCGCCCAGAAAGAGCTCAGCCCTCATCTTGTCAAAACCCAATATAGATAACCAACCATGGTTTCGGTGAAAGTCAAGTCAGCTCGTCTCCCGACATCTCCTTCCCTCTAATGAAACTAGAACAAACTGCACGATTGCGGCTATGGCAGCCCAAAAAGACTTCTCTAAAACTGGGAAAGGTTTCTGTGTCGTCCAGCTAGCACCTTTCACGAAAACCAGAGCCATCATCGAGCCCCACCAGAAAATCGCTCCAAACAATGGACCGTCGAATCGAACTGAACGTTCGTAATACTTTGAGTACTTATTGGCAAATTGATGTCGCATTTGGTTCCATTTTGATTTAATGCTATTTTCGTGATTCGCCCAGAACCGCATAATAAAATTGTCAACATGACAGGCTGCGATTAATATAGACCTTTATTTGTAATGCATAAATCATGCGGTCTTGAAGAACGTGCACTTTTCCCCAGCACTATTATTCCCACAACTTAATGATGCGATTCCTGGGGCGAAATTATGAGAGCTATTTGATAGTGGTGGGATTTAAAAAGAGTTCTTTAAGTTGGAAAGTTCTAATAATATAAAAATAAATAATCAAATAATCAGAATATTATACACATGTTTTTCAATATTTTGTTTTCTAGATCTATTTTCTATTTTAGGATTTCAAGTTCCTACATGGTTGAGCTGTACGACCATCTCTAACGCAAAGCCAACGACCCAGCCGAGTTTGTGGCAAACTTGTTCTGACTATTGTTACAATTGGTGATTCCTTTCTTTTTTTGCTTTCTAGCGCTGTAAGACAATGCACCATAAAACTGCAGTGGAAGCCGAGGGAGACCTGATCTCTGTTTTCCTTGGTCGGTTCCCACTCCACCCATTTCCATTTCAGTTGCCATGCAAATTTCAGTCTTGTGTTGTTTTTTCTGTCTCGAATGTTTTCCTCTTTCCGGGCACATTTGTCAAGGTGTCTTGTAAACAAGGCAGCAGGCTAAGGCACCCCAAGAACCAAATATACTTCTATAAACAAAGAACCAAGCACCGTTAGATCAGATGCAGACAGAGTGCTTATATAACGCATCGCGCCAGCCGAATTTGTATGTTTTATTGGTCACTTTGGTTGCCTCAACTCTTTAGGCCATAAATGGTAGTGACAAAAGTCGGAATTTATGGTCTGCTGACAGTTCTGATAAATAGCCCAGGGCCCGTCTTGGATTTGTGGAAGAGCTGCCCAGTGCAGCAGGTGGGAGAAGAGCTAAAAGAGCCATAAAAAGTTTTATCTTCGGGTCGGGTCTGTTCCCGCAGCATTTTGGGGTGGGGAGCCTCTGCTTAATTAGCAGGGAATGAATGGCTTTTAGAATTCCTCCTCGCAAAGTTTTGTAGCCGCCAGCGGGTTTGGGGAAACAGAAGCTGCGGAAAATTCAGGACCTTTCAAATCGAACTGACGTAGAGTTATTTTTTACAACTTTACCTCCCTCAATAGACCTCTCTTTATAGAATTTATGAGTAGAAGGCTTAGTGTCTAGGAAAACAATCTTGAAAAGTTAGTATTTCTTCAAGTGCACAACTCTTGGCCTGCCCGGTTAGTGGGCTCAAAAATACAAAAACGCGACTCTCCTCATATGGCCAGTCCCCGAAGATAGTGGTTGCAGTTGGCTTGCTTTTTTCGCCGCTTTAGTTATGTGTGCACTCTTTTCAGCTGGTTGCCGTTTTCAATATCAGATTACGTGCGGGATGTCTTTTGTTGTTGTTTGGGGCACTCCTTTAGTGCTGGCTGGAGGCAGAGTTGAGCACTTTTCGGCATATCAGATGTTGCTAATGTGGCTCCGCTAACTATGGCCGGAGTCCAGCGCTTCCACTTGAAAGGCGAGCTTAGATACAAGATACCAGATACTTTTTTCGACCTTGAGATAAGCGGACAAAGCTCGGCTCCTGGGGCAGATACTCGAATCTGAGCCACGCCCCGATATGCAAGATTATCAAAATAATGCAGTGAGACGTCTAAAGCCATCCCGGAAATGTATTTGATATCCGAAGAGTTAGAACTACTGTGTCTAACTACCTATACTAAGAGATTTTACCCTTTTGAATTCCACCTAAAAGGTAAAGTCTAATTTCTATATTGTTTGAAAATTTTAAATTTTCAAATTAGAAACTTTTATATATGATCATTTACTTTCTTTTTTTTGCAATATAACCAACTTTGTTAATCAAAATTAGCATCACCGGCTAGATATCTCATCAATGGTCTTGATTGGAGAATTTACTGTTTCTGATTTCTTGTCTCAAGACAGCTTTCTTCTCAGAACTCTTAGTTGCTCAGGGGATGCTGGATAATTGGGTCAAAAAAGAAGTAAGTAAAGTAAGCATGACATTAGGTTTCCTTTCCTATAGAACCAAATTGAAAATCTTACGTTAAGCTAATGAAGATTTCTTCCCGCCTTCGGGGTAAGCCTGGTGTATGTTCCCCATCATAGCCACCCAGTAGGTTTTTCAATTGCTGGCAATTAGCAAATTCTCTTTGAGTCACTTTAATGGACGTCTAACGTACAATGTCGTCTCAGCCCGGAGTTTTATAGCTTCCGCTTGGCATTATCAAATATTATTGGTGTTGCTCTTGGATGCCTATGGCCTATGGTTTCATCATCGTCCTCCTCTTCTCTGGTTTGCAATTGCATGTCGTCACGTCAAGTTGAGTGGAGAAAAAACCCTTGGCCGTCTAATGATGATCATTAGGAGCGGTACTGTAATCACACAGAAGCTAAACCCTAAGCCAGGTTCCCTGTCTGCTCCGGCCTCTTGCCAGCTTCTTCTTACGTTTTGTCAACATGGAACGGTAATTTCTTAAACAAAAAAAATATGAACGGCAGCAGCAGCTGTGAAGCTGAGATTGCTTTGAAAGTTTAAACACAGAAAATAAAATTTGAACAGCTTCTGGCCATAATATACTTTTTGGGAAAGACAGCGATTTCTTGTCAGTATCATGCCTTGTATATTTGGAAATATCACATTCAGTTTTTGAATATTTTTATTTAAAAACTTTAAAAGTTAGATTTCAGTGTAAATGTCTCCAATGCAACCTAGATTTGTTCCCTTTCCTTTCGGGTCCCTCGATATCTATCCAGTTCGTATTGCGTTTTTGCCGCCATGCGACCATTGTAACGGTTTTGATTAGTCTTAGGAAGTCGCCCAAGTTTTGTCGTTGTCGTCGTCGCCGCCTGGGCTCATCTTCCCCATTGATCCCCTCTATAGCCCCCTCCCCGGGTTCTATAGGTCCCGCTGATGAGACTTTTTTCTTGGACTGTTTGTTGTTGCTGCTGGCGTTTTAACAGTAAATGGTTAGTTTACATCATTAGCATGCCGTTTTCAGATGCTTCTTCCCATTCGACTAATAAATAAGCAATTTCGTGCCAGCTTTTTGCCGCTGTCGCCGAGTATGGCATTAATTGGTGAGCGCACGATGGTAAGTATCATTTAATTTGCCCAGAATCAGAAGGAAAGAATGCGTATATTTTTATCTTTTATTCGAAAGAAAATTTTGTGAAGAACTATCACAAGTTCTATTCGTAATATTTAGTAATAGCTTCACTCATTTTCCAAGAAATGAATTTAATCGGAGATTTTCTCAATTCCCCAGTGATTACCCGGGGTTTAACGCACAGGCCGCAAGTTCGTTGCCTGAGTCTTTTGTTTGTGTTTCTGCTAGAATGCCTGCACTGAAGCATGGGCTTTGGGCTCTGTGGCGGCTGCGTCTATTATTTATTTATCTGGCCACCAAGTCGGTGGGTTCTATTAACAATGTAAACAATACCGTTAACACGACACGTTAGGCAGCGCTTTTGGCAGAGTTGGCGAAACAGATAAACGGAATGTGCCGCAAGAATTTGCCAAGTTTCGCGGGCCAGAAGAAGGAGGCCCACGACGACTTGCCAACTGCATATTTTAGCCGTATCCCCCCTCCCGTCCCGAACCACAGCAATGCATCAAAGAATTGAACAACAAGAACAGCTACGTACGTAAAAAAGCGTGAAAAAGAGGCGACAAGAAAAACGGTTGGAGGAAAACACTTATTAAATTTTAGCATGCCCAAGAGGGCGGGAAGGGAGGTGCGGAAGAAAGCACCGCAAGAACGACCGCGTCCAGGTTGGCTCCGCGAAGAATTTCCCCGGTTCCCCCCAAGTTCACATACCTGTTCGAGGTGAGGCTTCCTTTTATCCACTGTGAGATTTCAATTGCGCGGCACCATAACAAAAATATGAACAATTTGTGTGTTTGTCTTACAGCACTATTATTGTTCTTTTTGTGCGCTTGTTTGTTTGTTTATGATTGCACTTCACCTCCACTCAAGGGCTCACTGATCCTTAACCGCAAGAAGAGTCTGCCGTGAAGAGTCTATTTCTTGGGACTTTTTGGAATTAAGTTCTACGATAGTTGTGGTCCGATTCTCGTTCTGAACGCGTCGCGAGCACTTCTTCGACTTGTCGGGTTCTTCGCTGGGGCTTTTCGTGCTATTTATCCGAGCGGCCAGTACGATCTTATTCGTTATCCACTTACCCGGTTCGTACATGCGTTACCGGTTGGGAGAGCAGCGACTCTCTCCAAGAAAAGCGTTCGGAAGAAAGTTGTCTGCATACGGGATTCTGTTTGGGGCCCAACTGGGGGCCCGCCAAACATTCTCGTCCGAAAGCTGCAGCCGAGCCGATTCTCCCAATTCTCCCAAGAGAGTGCCCAAGAGAAGAGTGTCCGGCTTGAAGGGAGATTCCATTAATTACCGGTTGGTGCTGCTGATAAGCATGCAGTGTCGCTTGTCCGCTGTTTGTTCGCCAATTAAAAATTAGATTTCGTTGATTTCGAGAAATGTAGATATTCCAGATAGCCGATCGAGGATCCAAGATGCCAACGATCTGAAGAAACGAGATAATCAAAGTATTTGAAGATGGGGCTGCTCAGAACCTCAGATCGGAAACCCATTACTCGCCGCTTACTCATCGCATTTTATTGCCAATTTGATATACATTTCTCTTACCAATTATAAAATCGTTTTCAATTTCCCAACCACAGATCTTGGGCAAGATGAAATAAAATAAAATATGTGGGCATGTCTGGGCCACAGAGCTCATACTGCAGAGACCCTCATTCCAATGCCGACGCCAATAAAGCCCCCAAGTAAACAATTCCAGGCATTACTCCATTACTCATAATGGCGCAGCCGAATGTCGCGGCTGCAGCCTCTCCTCCTCGCTCGGCCAATGGGCCTGGCAGAGGGGTGGAGGACAAAGGGTCCTCTGGAGCCCCGGAGTTCTGGAGTCGAAGGAGCACCCGCCCATGTTGTTGCATAAATCTGTTCGATTCATAACACACGAAGATGGCAAAGGTATCTGGCCTTGTCCCGACTTTATTTCTAATCAGTGATGGCACCGTGAGATACATGTTGGTTAAGATACTTCGATATTGACTAATAATCATATTATGTTTAATGTTAAGATTTAAGATTTGAAGATATTATTGAGATCTTAAAGTCCCACCACTAGACCCCCTTTTGGTGCCTTTATCAGGACTGTCTTCATCGATCGCGGCGAAGATTCTGTCCGTCCGTACGGCCTTCCGTCTCTTGTTCTGAAGCCTGTTCTGGCCAGATCGCCCAGCTTATTCCCGTTGAGTCGTCGCTTTGTCTTCGCTCCTGGCACCGTCTTAAAGGTTCAGGGCGGGCCCCGCCGAACGAATAAAAACAAAATAATATAGAATGAAATATTTATCGCCATTAGAGCCTGATTAGCTGCGGGCGTGCTCGAGCCACGTTCTAGCTTCGTTATTGGCCAACTTCCCACTTCCCCTCTGCGAGGTTCCCGGTGCGGAGCTGTTTCGGGACTTAATAAGCTTTTCTGGTGTGACTGTGATGGGAAATTGATATGTCCATTCAATTATGCTGTAGTGTAGTCGTGTCAATAAACTGATTCTGATCGTGTCCGGCAACAAGCTGACCAATTAGTTTTCCAACAAGACCTGCCCGATCAGAGTGAGCGAAATGGCTACGGATGAGGCTATTTTTGGGGGAGTGACTGTAGAAAATTAATGAAATGAAAACAAGAGGTGCTGACGGTGTTGAGGTGCCAAAATAATCCAAAATTAAAACAAAAAGTCATCTTATTTGATGTGCTAGGTGAACTTGAGAATCTATTCTAACAACTGTTTAAAGAAAAGGGAAATGTGAGATGAAAGTTTCAAAGGTGTATATTCCGATTATAAACATTTTTTTTTATTTGATCTAAAACAGCTTCAAAAATATGCCAATTCTTAGGAAATGTTCCCTCTGCTTATCTGCTTATACGCAAAAGTCTTCTAATAGCCAATACAACAACCATTCGAATAGCTTTACCATTCGAGTTAGTCAAGTTTCAAACACCAATAGCAAAGCAGTATGCACTGCTTACCGATTTCTAATGTTTCGAAATTCCAATCGAACAAAACCCAACAGAAAAGTTCAAACAAAAAATTTTAAAACATGTTGCAATTTTTACCTACAAATTTTAATGCGTATTTATTTCTTAATAGTAAAATGAATATTTAATAAATATTATTTATTGTTTATTACTTATTTCAAGGAACGTCGACAGTTCAATTAGGGGGAGGCTGAGGAAGTTTCCGAAAATAAGACATTAGATGTTCGAATTTAATATTATTAATTTTATTTATAACCATTTTCCCATTATTATTATTTTTTTGTAGTAAATCCGTTTGCTTTCTTTTTGTTTTTCCTTGGACTTTTCACGCTTGTCGCTTATTTTTATGCGGAAAACTTTTCAATTCTTGCAATTGCAACAAAAGTTGTTGCAGCTTGGGTCTGTACTTGTGCACTCATCCTCAACCTGCCCAATTTTTTTGGCGACTTTTGTTTAAATTATGCATACAGAAGTGTCGCAGCCACTTAGAGCCAGAATAGGGCGCCGACAAGGGCTTGGGGCTGGGCTCGGGTCAGGGATGGGAGTGTTGGATCGGTGCGGACTTGGAAAATTTTGCCAGCGCTTGGCCAGTCGCTGTGGATTTTCCGCATGAGCAATACTTGTAACACTTTCTGTTTGCCTTTTCCAACAAATTGAAAACGAAAATAAGGGATTATAGGCGGTGGGCCAGCGACAGATTTATGTCCGCCGAGTGTCTGCAGGGCTCGGGGGCGTGTCGGCCCACAGCCACCTCTTGTCGCGACGAAATCCTTTTACACTTAATTAATTTTTGTCTCCGCGCCTTTGATAATTCGCAATTTAATTTCAGTGTTGGCTTTTTCGTGCCATTTTTTCGTCTGCTGACGCACTCACCGGCATTATCCTCTTCCGCGTCAGCGGTCCGCGATTAATAAAGAGTTTCCAGCCCGACTGGCTTGTGGTTAATTGCCAGCAGCCACCAGGCAACAGGCAGCAACTGTTGACTCAAATTCCGGCATATCTTCGTGAAGATCCTTATACCAGGGCTCTCGAAAATGACAAAATTTCCATGGCCTTGTCTCCGCGCAATTGTAGGAGAAATATTCAAAATCAGCGAAAAATATTTTTACTTTACATATCAACATATAAAAATATGGAAATCTATTTCTGTTCACGAAGTTTTATGATACCCTACAATATCATCAGCTGTTTTCAGAGCTCCAAGATTCATCCGACAATTGGTGAGAAGTATCCGTGATACGTCAAGTAGGCCATATTGGGAATGAAAATATGGCATATCGGAAACATAAGGAACGCTTGTACCTTTTTGAGCTCTTTACAGCTGACGAAGCTTTCCTGGTTTCTATAGATGGCATATTATATAACCTTTATAACAATCATATTCATATTGGATTATCCTCACTTATCCCCAATCCTGCGCTCTGCCGTCGTATCCACAGGATAACACCGTTCTTCCAGTGTGTTTTGGTGCAATATTCGGTCTATACAGTAGCTGATCACCCGAATCTGTATCTGCATCGTTATTGTGGAAGTAGCTGTCGCTGCCGGTTAAACCATATCACTTTCCTTTATCACTAATTCTTATCACAAAAGCCGTAGAAAATTCCCCTTACCATGCATTTTTCCATTCGCTTATCGCATCCTATTCTGGAATATAAAACGCCTCCATCTTGGCCATGCCTCGCAGCCACATAAATCATCATTATAAGCATATTTGCAAATGCCCGGACCAAAACCGCCAAACAAACCATTTCGGGAAGAGGGAGACCGCCGAGCAGTGCTAATTACTGTAATTTGGCCAGAAGGGTTGGCGGGCGGAGAAACCAGCTAACCACGTTATCCAGCCAGCGATAATGTTTGTCAACAAACGGAGAAAAAAACGGAAAACTTTTTACATGGCAGAGGCGTGACCAGACCAAGTTAAGAAACGGAGGATGAGATAACCGACCACCATACACTTGTTAACTGGTAATTAGCCTCGTAAATTAAACAGACTCCTGCAGTTTTTAAAGAAGAGGCTAGATATAGAAACTCTATAACAATTTTTCCTGCGATATATACTTTAGTGTTTTATTTTCCATTTTTTTTATCCTCAAATGCCTGACTGTTTCCAATCACCAAATCATTAATAACCGCTTTTACTTCAGTCGCAAAAATAAAGTCCAAGTGTCCCCAGGTTGGGTCGGGAACTTCGTATAACAAGGCCAGGTTGGGCAACAGATCAGGTAGCCTGGAAATATCGTCCTTGTTGGCAGAACCATCCACCAATCCATAGTACAGATAGAGTTCGGAAGTGATCTGAGTCAGGTCGTAGGCCGGAGGCTCTGGCACTCCGTAGTACTCCAAGTTCTTTCGAGTTCCCCAGTCGTATTGCCGGAAGTCGTTGGAGACGTGTGACTGGATGTAGTGTATGCCCTGGTTGGAGGAAACGCCAGCCGGATGTGTCTCAGCAATTTGTGGGAGGAGAGTCTGGAAAATGGAGAATCGTTTAGTCTTTTGCTTGACCCTTAAATCTGACATGCTCACCTGATTCAGGTTTCCTATTCCTGGTCCATTCCAGAGGATGGCCAAGGTCTTGCAATAACTCAGCAAAAGCGGCGAATTGCTGCAAGTGGTGTCCAAGATCCTCTGAATGAATTGGTTCTGGGGCAGCAGGACCTGGTTTTCCAGGAGAATGCTTGCGAGTCCGGGAGTACCAAAGTAGGGAGCCGTGGACACTATCAGGCCTTCCGTGGTGTTGCCCATAAAAACAGGTGGAGCCAGCATGTGGGCCGTCTTGATCTTGGCATTGTACTCCGGCTTGAAGGCTCCCATCACGAAGAAGGAGGTGCAGCCTTGGGAGTGGCCGGCATAGTGCACGGCCGACTCGCCCGTGAGCTCCAAAATATAGTCTATCATGGCCGGCAGGTCGATGGCTCCAATCTCGTGCCAGCTGAATTTCCAGAAGTAGGGATTCTTCACGGCCAGTCGGGTGTTGTTCCTCGAGTAGATGTTGCCGCGGGCATTGCCCAGCCAGACGTCGTACCCGGCATCCGCGTAGTTGTACGCCAGGGCGTCCTCCGGCCCATTGAGCAGGAAGCAATCCGAGCAGCTGAACAGTCCGTGCATGATGAGCACCGCAGGACGCTGCTGGTCGCCATTGTTTAGCTTGGGGGAGTGCGGGATGCGGAACAGGTTCAGTACGTAGCCATCAGGGGTCTCCACAAAATGAGATTCCGCAGGGTAGCCATGCTCTTGAATGCGCTCCGCCTGCAATGGGAGTCTGACGTTAAAGGATTTCAAAATAGCAGAGCTTTTGGTTCAACAAAGAGTTTGATACAAAGGTTTTATTAAATATGGAAATAGAAATCATTTGAAATAAACAGCAAAATATTTTTAGTATTTTAAAGAAAACAGTTATGTTGTGTTTATTCAAAATATTCAATATTCAATATTAGGTTTTAAAGCTTAAACATTTTCTTAATAGGGACTTACGATAAAAATAAGTCTAATTTACCTAGTATGAATCATTATTTTCAAATATTTTTTATAAAAATATGAGCAATAAACTATGTACTAATAATTTGTATCAAAATTTAAATCGAAAGAGAACCAAAAGTTTTAGAATTTTGGTTTTAATTTTTAAATTAGCTTTGTTATTTTAACTTGCTAAAATCAACTGTCATTGTTGTAAGCAATAATAGTCTAATGAAATAAACACAATTTTGTACCCACCGAAGTCTTGATACGTTTAAAGGGAATATCTATAAAAGGATCGGAGTCCACCACAGCTCCAGCTGCTGCAACAACTGCCAAAAAACACAGGGCAGAACGAAGCATTTTTGGTTCAACCTTTTCCTAGAAGATCAGCCTGTTGACTGACGTTTTTTCAGGAAATATTTCTAATCATTTTTAGCTTCATCTAATCTATTGATTGTTCGGATTATTTATTAGTGGCAATACCGCGCAAATCCAAGATTTACCACCATTAGCTGTTCATTTAGATTATTTGGGGACGATTATCGCTTTTAACTTTAACCCCCTGGCATGAAATGATAAAGGTAATTGTTTTATAATATTTTTTGAACCTATAAATACCGCTTAATTGGAATCAAATGCTGATTTGTTTATACTCTACATAAGTCAAATTAATAATGTAGTGTTTAATTTTTTACAAAATATTTTTTTTCTCATCGCATTAAACTTGTTATTTTTAGTAAAAAAAAAACATGTAAATCGATATATTTTTCAAGGTCCTTGTAAAGTGAGATGTAACCTCTAACAATCTTGCTATTTTGCTACATTAAGAGCTTAACTTCGTTCATGAAATATCTTCGATTTCCCAGCAACAATACGTGGTCTCCCCTTAAAGCATCCATTCCCTTTTCAATCAGACTGGTCCCAATGGGCGGCTGTGGAAACTGCAGAACACGCGTATCAACGAGTTGCGCCTGACTTGCTGCGATTTTTGCATTATGCCAGTGAATTGTAATGCGGCACGATAGCGGCTGTGTGGGACAGGGGAGGGCTGGGAGGCAAGGTGGTGATTGCTAGTAGCGGCGCCTCACTGAGATTGGCATTAAGCACGGCTTAAACCACAAATTCCGAACCTTGATGACTATCCCAGAGCAGGAGTTATGCGTTTTTTTCAGTTTTAAAATGAAAACACATTTCTTTTGAAACTGCAAATGAAATTATTTTTAAAGGCCTAAATAAGGTTTTGTAATAGAATTTTTATTTATTATTTCTGCAAAAGAACCCTATTTTAGTCACAAATAAAAGAAATTTTCAACCAAATAAACTATAATATGTTTGATTTTTGTTTTTAGTCTTATAGCAGTTGGATCTTATTTTAAAGTTTTGCAGTGTATGTCCTTCGAGTGAGTTGTGGGTGTGTGTGTATGAGGGTATGACATTGTCATGGCAATGTCGATGCTGGAGGATGTACCACGAAAAGGGACGAAGCCGAACGTAAATGCGGTTCATTGAAATTACGTGAAGTGGCGAGGCATGGTCTATAGGGAGAACAGCAAAGACATGAATGGAGAATTTTTGGAATAAACTACAATGTAGTTACATAATGCTTCAACAAGTTTAAATTAAATATTTCTTTCGTTTAAATAAAAAAATAAAATATAATAAAAAGAAACCACTTATTGTGAAAAAAGTGTGTTGAAATGAAAAAAAATCTGGGAATCCTCTATTGCTTCTCCCATTGGCTTTTTTGCCTGTTGGCCAAATTGCTTCGCGGCGTCTTCTTCATCTCGTTCAGCTTGCTTGGCACTTTCCACTCGAAACCCAATTAAACAACATAATTGGCTGCCTGATGAGCGCCAACTGTTTGCCAAAATGCACTGCGATTGCATAAAATTGTTTTCTTTTCCCGCCTTGTTTTCTGTGTCTTCGACTTCAGACAATTTTCCACCAGCCAGCTGGAATCGTGACTTATCATAAATCTAAAGTTACGTTTCGTGAGGTATCTGCGCGTAGATATAGCCAAGTGGTGGATGACAGACCCCCGCGAGTGCAAAGGAAAAATAGCAAAAGCAATAGCACCAATAACAACATCGACATCAATGTGTCAAGTTTACGTTAATGGCCAAGTCAAAAGGGCACTTGGATGGCATGACACCAACCCACGTGCCCCTACATTTTTTGTCATTTGGGTTTAATATCTTCGTATTGTCTGAGGTCGGAGCAGGTTGAGGTCAAACGTGAAAACTCTTTGGTGTTGACTTACACTTGCATATGTATCCGTTTTCAATTACAGAAAAGTGTCTTGCTGAAGGCTTTGTTGTAGAAAAATTTTATGAAAATGGGTTGAAGTACGACCTTGGGCACACTCTGGGCATTAAACGTTTAATATTTATTTATTTTTATGTTTAATAAATAATACAATGTTATCAAACCCAATCCGAATCAAATATTACAAATATTTGTAAATCTCTTTATGAACTTGGCAATTTTTGAAAAAAAAACCTTAGTGCCAAAGCCGAAAGCAGACTAGCCAAAATGAATTGCTGACATCAAGCCGTGGAAGAGATATCAAAATGCAATATTTCCACTAGAATAAATTTGCGCATTTCCCTATAAACTCGCAACATTGAAAGCGGGCGGGTGCGAGTGTGCATATGGCATGGTAACCATTTTTTGCCTACTTGCAATTGACAAGTTGCCTTGCCAACTCCTGCACATCTTCATCGTGGCCCTCGCCTATGAAAAATATTAAAATATGGCCATGTGTGAGTCCAAAGGACGGCCAGGATATTCGAGCGAGAGTGCGAATGAAAAATAAATATGTGCAATAAAAGAGAAAAGGATATTTCTAACTACGTTTCTTCTAATACTCTATTCTATTCAAAATACAAGTTCAAAAAGTACTACATTTTTTTTTAATCAATAACCTTTCATACTCTAAATTTGCTACATCTCAACAAAAGATATAGTTTTGACAATTTGTTATAAAAACATGGTTTTTATCCTTTTACATATTGTTATGATAGGGTTAGGGTATCTCAATGCGAAAACATAAATTTAAAAAACTAGCCCAGGAGGGGGCAGGAAGGAAACTTCTAGCACTTTGGCACCCATTTGAAAGATAAATTGCAACTGAAAATCGTTTCATTTGTTCCGGCCTCTCCTCCACCTCGGTGAGTGATTTCCCGGCCACACTTTCCCCTGGGTAGCTGTGGCATAAATTAAATTGCATTTAACATGAGCACCGCCATGCCAGCTTTGCCTTTTCCGAAGATTATGAAGCGCCCCAGGTGTCGTGACATGTCGCCAATGGGCGGACAGGTGGGCAGGTATGATGACCACTGCGCGGCAGAGAGCAAGCCAAACATATGTCGGACTTTAATTATGTCATAACATTAGCACTCTGCTGGGGGAGCAGGTGGGGTGGAACACGATGTGGCATGTTTGTTTGAAAAACAAGCGAAAATGCTCAATTTGCATTTGTTCAACAATCGGAATGTGCTATTCAATTCTGTGTTTGCTTTTGTGTCTGTATCCATCCAGTTCTTTGATTGAAGTGGCTGGAATGGGTCCGACAATCCATTTCAAAAATGGATTCTATGTTTTATTAAGTTTGGTTGGGTGGCGGATGTACTAGTGGCCCCAATTTACATTTTAAAAATAAAATATAACATATCATGTCTCTTAATTTCTTAACATTTGTACTGATTTTAGCACATTTTCTACATTTATAGAAAATTTGAAATTTTGTGTTTTCCATGGACCTATTGGTCTACTGGTCTATTGTTTTTTTATAGTTTTAATTGAAGTTTCGAACTTACACCTGCTAAATTTGAAATATTCTTCATTTGTTTGGACTCGCTTTTTTGGTTTTGGCTTTGCCACTTAGGCCACAAATGTGCTGGAAACTCTCGACCCCTGCCCCAGCCCAGCACTCTAACATAAACAGCAGCAACTAACTCATGCAAAACCAATTAGGTGCGGTCGTTTCGCATCGCGACTTCAACACTATGATGCATTGTACCGCCCCCATGCCCGCCTTTTTTCCTCTATCGTTTTTGCCAAGCTTTAATTATTGCACTCGGCGAGTGTTGGTTTTTTTCAGGTGCGTGTGTTGGCAGTGGTCTATATATGAATTGAGCCAAACCATATCATATTCAGCTGCAATTCAATTGTTTTCTGCGCCATCTTCTTATTGTAGCTGGTGCTAGGGGTATATTGTATTCGTGAAAATGGGTGTAAAAGGGAAAAGGGACCATGTCTAATCCCATTAAGTATATTTAAATCTTAAACACAAATTTTAGTCAAAATAGGCAATTTTTATAAAATTTTATTATATTTAGTACGCTTCTCTATTATGCCAAACAAGAGTACATTAAAGCATGAAAAAGAATTTTTTTAAAAGACTTTATTTGTTGAAAGGTGAAGAACCGGGTGCATTAAAGTCGGAAAACTTAAATAAACCCCTTCTGTTTATTTTGTTAGGTTTTTAAATGTTTTGTTGTCTTAATCTGAAATCAGCAACCTCTTCTCATCTCGTCTGCTCATTAACGGGAAGAGCAGCTCATGCATTGCAATTCGAGGGCTTTCGGTTAGTTGCAGGTTGCTTCAGCTCGACTGACTTTTGCAAAACTTCAAACTTCTTGGCACCTCGGAGGCTGAGCCAGTGTTGAGCAATTTGCAAACACACACTAATTGTTTGGTGAGCCAAGTGCTTGCCAGCGCATGGGTGTTTGTGGCAGCAATTCAATAGCGGAAGCGTTCGGCGCAATAAGTGCCATTATTGTGGATAAAAAGTGGGTTTCAGTTAGGGTTTAAACTTAAACCCTGTCCTGTGTTATACTTTTTAGAAAAATAATATGCAATCCAATTAGGTTAACATTCATGATAGAAAACTTTACAAGTTCCACGAATATTGGAAATATTTTTAAACCTTTATATGTATACTGTATTAAGTATACATACCTTACATTTAAATACGGTATAATATTTTTTAATATATTTAAAAAGCTGTCTAATTTCTAGCTGTGTTCAATCAAACCTGCTGCAAGCTCAACTTCAAACAAAATAGTCCGAGCCAAGCTCAACAAACTCTTATACGGGCGTAACGGTCATGCACCAGCGAGTATAAGAGCGCCGAGACATGCCAGTGCCGCTAAGACATGCACAATCCATTAAGGATAAAAGCGAGAATTATAGCCTTGAAAGGATAATCGCCGAAGAGTGACAAGGCTATCGCAGTTAAATGGCTCACTGTTAGTTACCAGCTGTTGCTTCTGGCCGAAATAATCAAGAGTGGCAGCAAAATAAACAGTTCGATAATAGAAAATCTAAACCAGAAATATAAAAAGGTAATTTTAATGATTACGCAGATTTGGGGCGCAAATGA